TTACTTTGCTAAAAATTTATGTTCATAGTAAATTATTACGATTCTGTTTCACAATGATATAGAAGAAATTTATCTTAGTACAAGCAGTTGATAATGAGTACACACTATAATTAAATTTTTCACGGTTGTAGGATTTCATGTCCTATCCATAAGCTTCACGCTAGATCAAGAGATGCATAAGATATTTATTTATACCTCTTTGATTAATCTAAGTGGATTGAATTGCGCAGAAGATATACGACCAGCATTAATTTTGCGCGGTATCTCTGAGACTTGAATTGATTTCAATGTATCCATTAGTTGAGAATCAGTGATTTCATTAAAAGTAATCAGTGAATCCAGGAACAGGTCGTGAAGGCATTTGCATATTTGCCAAATAATAAGTAATGTCAATGTACTCGAGAGTTGGTTATCCATCAACACCTATAGTTACTTTTTACCAATCGGGTGTTGTACTTCATCGGTTGAACATAGGCCTATTTACGTATTAAAAAAAACTTCGATAGGTCTACATTATTTAAGTCATCGTACCTAAGCGCCATAACTCCAACAATAGGGAGGTTTCGCACGCGAACGCGTACGGTTAGTGTGACGGATATGTCATCATTTTGACGTTCACTACACGTAAGTGAGAAACGCGTAGGCAAATTGTGAATTTCTAGTAGGATCTTTGTTTTTTCACATTTTACGTAAGTGTAAAAAATATATGTATCTTTGAATACGTACGTGCCATTTTTGTGACATTTGAAGGCAGCAAATTACGATAGGATGCGTCTCATTTTGGGGTATCAAAACGTCGGTGCTTTGACCTTGGTGGTGGTGTCGGGATTTTGTGTAGGCTAGGCTAGGCCTACTTCTTGCAGCAAGGCACCTTTGGGTCATAAACAGTAGAGCCTATTACAAAATAACCAACACTTCTGGGCAACAAAGGAAGTATTTTCGGCTACAATTTCCAAAACCATACATAGGCCCTATACTAATAAAACTTTGAGAAGCATGATGAGAGAAGAGAATAGAGTATAATAAGCCAGAATGCCGTAAACCCTAGGCCTAGCCTAGGCTACGCTTGAATTGCGCTGTGATTGCGAAAATCACAGAACAGCTACGAACCGTTACGGATAGCTAAACGTATGCGTACACGTATTCGTTCGCGTGCGAAACCTCTCTAATAAGAGTTTCCAACATTCATATTTATAAGGTTTGAAATACATCATCAGTGATTTAGAGTTCTGCAATCGATCACATTAGATCTTAGTCTTTCCCTTACCTTCTAGAGGTTGGAATTTGTTAACTTTAACTTTAATTTAAAATATTGTCATTCTAGCTTCAACTTGATATCACAAGAAAAGATCAGGGGGTGTTATACATATGCATTATGTTACTCTAGGAAATTAGAAAATCGTAACAACTGTACCGTATTTATTCGATATTAGTGATTATGTCACCGATTTAAAGCAACTGATTTTATATATAATACCGTATGTATCTTCACGTGTAACACATCTTATATAATATATTTAATATATTATATAAATATACCATATGTTCCGTATTCTTCAGGTACATTTCCATATTCTCATATTATCTCAGATAGTCATAAAAAATTAATTTAACTTAAAATCATAAAGAATTCCATGGATGAAATCATTTTTGATTGTTTACCTATTATATGTACTTATTAATTACGTCTGTTTCTAATGTATTTAATGTTATGACTAAACAAAAAATCTAATGTGTAAAAGCATACTAGATAATGCAAATACGGATCAGGTATTTTTTCTATTTACAGTTTGAAATCGTATTACAGTATCTTCAATAGCTCATTATACAGATGATGTTTTTTTTTATAGAAGTGTTGGCAATTGGGTCATTGATCCTAATACTAAAATGTGATTTGCAATCAATTAAATGATGTGCCGAAAACAACCAATTGAGGCTCATATCTAACAAATTTATGAGAAGTCGTAAGGTTAACATGGAAAAGCCAGTGTGAAAACCTCAATTTATTATTTGAGATTGACATGTGTTGACTGTTATAAATTGTTGGGTTCACAATTCGAATAATATTTCACGGGGAGAGAGAAGCCAAATGTAATGGCATTGCTAATCCCACAAATGTACTCTTTGCCAACCAAACAAAAAACATCATTGTAACATTCTTGAACGTGGTGAATATTGTGGTTATGTAATGTCAGAAAAGAACGTTAACACATCGTTGCAGTAGCGTTTGCAACGTTATTAGTTAAAGATTACGTCCTGATACTAAAAAAAGGTTTGAATACCAAACTGCAACGTTATTATTACGTGATATTTACCTGCGTAGGAAATTACCCTCATTTATGACCGGCCTGCATTTTAGTAATAATTTTGGAGCAGTACTGCTGTCCGGTCTTGGTAGGTTCTTGAAACGAAGAGGAGGCAGTTTAAGACGGGTAAGATATTTGGACAAGGATTTTTGAAACAATGCTATAATGACTGAATATTTTATCTAAGTGTGTGTATCTACCAGCTAAGAAAAACGGTTTTTAGGAAACGATTCTTTTAAAATAACCATTTCCTATGATAGTAGAATCGGGGCCCATAAAAAACGCTTCTTTAATCGTGCCGAGGAATCGTTCTGTGGCACGTAATCGATTCCGTGTTCAGCACGTCAAGAACAATTTCTCGCGGTGCAGTTTTTAGCTGCAACATAAATTGTGAATAATGTCCGCTGAGGGTCAGCGTCAATGCACGACCTTTTAATATGGAAACGCTTTAACTGTCAGATTAGAAATTATTGTGGATATTTAAAAATCGATTGTAGTACATGAGGGGCATCAAGATATACGCTACTTACCCTTAGTGTATAAGGGCCCATATGCAATTAGTGCAATCATTGTCTTTCCAAAATCATTTTCAGGACTGGGGTGAAGATACAAAATTTAATGTGCGGGTGGTTGGTTCATTGGTTGCGAGTTTAGAGGTTCGACCTTTGTGCAAGGCACTTTTACGGTTTCCTCTTTCAACCAGAGGGTATTAGTGAGTCCCTAGTAGGTATACGAACACCAGTGCCTAAATATTTTTTCCCATTACATTTATATATTTCACATAATTCTACTACTGTTATCAATATTTATCATTAGAAACTTTTGACTGTCATCAACTATACGCCCATGTCCGTAAATGGTTGGCAGTCAACCATTTACGGACATGAGCGTATGTCCATGTCCGTAAATGGTTGACTGCCAACCATTTACGGACACGGGCGTATAGTTGATGTCCGTAAATGGTTGGCAGTAAAGTTTTTTAGGATAAATATTGAGCAGAGTATTAGAATGTGGTAAATATGTCGGTGTGTGCCTAAATTTTAGCTTTTTGCATTTTACTATAACCATTAGTATTATTTAGTTTAAAATTGTTATTGTTTGGAAAATATTTTGATTTGGACTAAGGCAGAGTTTTGTATGCTATACCGGTATTTATTATGTATTTTTAAATATAATTAAAACATGAATTTAATAAATTATACCTATAAATATATTCTGGTTATGATTAATAGAGGTGATTGAATTTTCACGTCTTTGGAAAGCATTTATCCTCAACTTTTCCTCGTCTGAGACATGCCCATTGACTAATTTTCCTTTTATTTCGCAGTCTCCTAAGGTCTTTCTTTTCTTAGGCGTTGGATTACTAAATATTTTACATAATTCCTTTGTACTTTTAATTCAAAACGGTAATAGAAGTATCGTTGCAACTAAGTAATACCGTACTAAACATAGTTCACGCAAATTATATTCAATGAATTTTTGTTTTAATTTAGCTAGGACATTTTTACCGCTTCTGTGTTTTCAACTTTTAACGTTAGAAAAAATATTTGTATAATTTAAAAAAAAATTATTATTAGGCTATTTTCTTGCTTATAGTTTATTGTTGACAGTCTCGAATAGTGACTTTGGTCGTCCCACTATATGACTCTCTATCTAATAAAGTACACACAAAAATATGGTAAAAAACATCCGGTATTCCTTTCTTTCAATTTCTACCTCGTGTATTTTCTATATACTTATGTGTTTCTTATACTCAGTTATTATTATTCTTTTATTGCTGAAGACCCCACATTGAAATAAGTCTCTACCATCAATCAATCTCTCTCTCAGATATATGTATGGTTGAATTTTGCATAGATTTTATCACACCAAACCGACACAAATGATTTTTTTTTCGCGTTTCAATGGTGTGTGATTATCATAACGAGAACGTTGGCGTTTAATTAACTTAGAGATCATGGGCACTTTCCACAGGGTATGATCCGTAGGGAGTTTTTTAATTGGCAGCGTATAATGTGATCGAATCATTCCAGACAGGTGATATACAAGTGGGTTACACGCTAGTTCAGCCATCAATCTATTCCGATTAAAAGTAAATCTATTCAATTAAAATTCAATTTGCAGTAGGACTTATAGTTTTGGTAACTAATTAAGTAGCTGGTGTAAATTAGTGCTAAAATGGTTGATCATAATGGACATATATGGGTTTTTAAATTTTTCTAGAAGTCTATAAAAATAGGGCTAGGCCTATGTCATATTTGTAATAACAGTATACTGACATTCAATTGAGCTTGACTCATGTAATACATCATTATTGCAAATGAACGGATGTTACACGCGTATCACAGAAAGTTATTTAACATTTTAGAAAGAAAAAGTTCACAAAACAAAAACGAAGTGTACCGGGAGACACTGAGTTCTATATAAAGACCAAGTAACACAAATTTAGTAAAAATTACTACTAGTGGAATCAAAGAATATGAAATGCAATTTACAGCACAGTATATACTTGCTGTTCTTATATACAACAAAAACAAAGCCAAGTTATATTATTCCTAAAACTTACTATTTGATTATTTGATAAATCTAAATGCAAAAATAAAATAATTGACCTTTCATACTACGATTGAAATGTTCATTGTAATAAATTGTACTTAATTATGTAGCCGAACAAATGAATGGCAATATACTTACCGCAATACAGCCGATTGTTCCTTTTACTCGATGTACTTGAGTCCTGGTTCCCGTGTTGCGTTTCCAATGTCTGATTCACCTCCGTTCGCTTCTACGTCTGGCTTTAAATGAATGCCCAGCAAATAGCACCTGAATTATATTTCCACGACAATGGTTCAGTCCGCATTTACAAAACCCACTCAATCAATTCGATAAATGATGAAATTTGCTTATCAACTTTACTAAATTACGTTATTCACGTCTTATAGTTATAATGGTGAACGTTTAGCAGGAAGCCATCAAGTAAATTTTTATGAATAAAGACGTTATCACTGGACGTTGTAATTGCCTTGATTTAAAAGCTTTAGTGATGCGGAGGCACTCGTAAAATTAAAATGAAAACAACGCTTTTCCGAACTGACGTTCACACATATCGATTATTAATATTTTGCATTGTTGTCATAAAACAATATCGAATGTAAAAATATTATCATCTTAATAGGCAATGGGCGCGTTACCAAGTGTCCGGGTAATTAATAATTTAACGAGAATGGAACTTTCTTTTATATTAGATGTTATTAAATAATATATTTGAAACAAGTTAAGATTTGTTTTATAATCACCGACAAACCGAGTGAACTTTTTTGCTAAAATAATAACTATAGGAATGTAAAAATTGGCCTTAAAAATTGTCTTAAGCTTCTAAAATAATTTTTGAATTTGGCAATTAAAGTCTTGAATAATGTAACCAAGAAAAATTAAAATTAGGCCTAAGACATATATTCAATCCAATGAACCAATAATTGATTTTCATAAAATGCTACTGTGTCCGTCATCATCAGGGTTTAAGATAATGAGAAGTACCGTATATTTAATCGATAGATAATTGTTATTATCTAATGATGACTTATTTTCCTCACCAAGATGCAAAAGTAATGCCGCTCATACCGTACCTTGTTTAGTATTCCTTCATAATTTTGCTAGTAATCAATATTAATTAGTAAAAATTAAATTGTTTGATATGTGTCTCCTGTTAAGTTAAGAAGTTATTTATTATTCGTATTAGATTTTACCACAAACCGTTAAAGGTGTAAAAAAAACACCAATATTTATGTATTATTTTGTCATTAAAACAAGATATGATGAATAACTTTTACTCCTAAATAAGGTACCTGTAGAATATAGAGATGCGATGCCTTAGTAAAAATATTTTCAATAGTAAATTTTGAATGATGGTTGAGAGAAGCATTGCCGTTTTTCTTCGAAATAATAGTTAACATATATATTTATCCCTAAGGTAACTAATCTCCAAACCTAATTTAATTTTGTATGATTTACTGTAAAGAATCAGTTTATTTGCGTAGTGTTATGAAGCTTTTTGGGAAATATGTCCATATCGAAAAAGTCCAAGTGTGTGCGTGTATATTGATTTATTCATTTATTTTAATGATTACCAATCAACAGAAAGAAGCAAAAGGTTTTCAGAATAGGAAATGTGATAAAATACGACTTAAAATAGTGATAGTTATTGTTGACATAAATTTAGTAACGATATTAGTAATGCCAATTTCAGTAAAAACTAATAACCTATTAATAATAACATCATTAACATGCAAAATAGTACCAACTTCATTATCTAGATACAGAATTTCAATTTAAATCCTTCATTTTACCACTATGATACATGCCTATGACAATGTATACCAATAGTTTGGTCCCTATATAAAGTGAATGGGTTATCAATGCGTATGAATATATTTACATTGCAAATAAATGTAATACATGAGAAGCCATCGGGGGATGACGGCATCTGAGTCAACATAGAAACCGACGTGTTGCTGAATACCAACTTCTAAATGGACAGGTGTATACATTCGGGCCTGAAAATGTAAACGTAATACAATCTTAGATAGTGGTTATTTTAGACATGGTGTGTTAAACTAGAAAAAGAGGCGTGCCCTATTGCAATTCTTTCAATCATGTTGATCATTTTCATTCGGCTTTTGTGAATTTGCTTCTTATAAAGTGCGTTGATATTTTGCGGATAAGTGTTTACTCGAGTAAAGATCTACGGAATAAAGATTTCTTCAAACTTATTTGCACTTATGTCTTCTCAGCCTGAAAATCAGATTATCTAAAAGGATCTTGATCGTCTGCGCCTCTCTGAACAACCAAAACAAGATTTAATGCGCGCGTCATAACGAAATTGATATTCTAAATACAGACATTTTCTTCCTGTACTACTGTGAGCGGATTTTTTTTAGAAACTCTATTATTGGTAAGTAAGCTCAAACCCAAGAACGTCTTTTAGACGAAAATCACGAAATCTTATCAATGGACGATTGAGGTTTTTTTTTTTTTTTTTTTTTTTTTTTTTTTTTTTTTTCAAATAGTTGAACCATCGACGCCTATAAACATCAGGTATTGACAAGCAGGTGATCAATTTTGATGAAAATAATACACATTTTATGTGCATACATTACTTGGCTATGTTATCATATTTCATCATCTTTTTGATTCTACTATGGCTTCCTTCAGGGCATCTCTGATTTCTGACATAATTCGTCCATTTTCTATTATATGTTTTTAATGTACCGTGTGTTGCCAAGCAAAACGGGAATCTGAGCCGAAAATCAATGACAAGCAAAATACATAAAATTATGTTGAGGACGCTGACGCCTTAAAAATTATATAAGTAGGCGCTGATTAGGAAAATTCTAATGCATAATAAAATATAGATGATCTTTAGTTGCCTTACATTAGATATAATGTAAGATCATTTTTGTAAGTTTACTTCCACAAAATTGGTATGAAACTCACCTAGAGTGCGAGAGGTTGCAGATTCGAATCCCGTTAGAGATTTTTTTAATACAACTAAAATAAAGGAACATTTCGTTGATGTGCTTTGCTTGATACGATTATTACAACATGTTCCACTGTTATTATTATTTCTCTATTTCTTTATATTGTGTTTACAGTGCTACGCAGAAACTTGATTTAAACAGTATTTACTAAGATTTCCCAGCTGCGACCTATAGGCTCTTCTAGTTTAACAGGCAGTGAGAAAAAGCGCTTGGGTGTTAGATCTTCACCTATATAGGTTTCCGTGGTCTAATGGGTATGACACTCGCCTGATAGCGAGAGGTAGCAGGTTCAAATCCCATCAGAGACACCGTTTTTATGTAACTTACATAAAGGAGTTTTCGTTGATAAGCTATGCATGATACGATTATTATAACATCTTCCTATCCTGTCTCTTATACACATCTAGATGTGTATAAGAGACAGAAAATACGACTTAAAATAGTGATAGTTATTGTTGACATAAATTTAGTAACGATATTAGTAATGCCAATTTCAGTAAAAACTAACCACAAAGTGAAATATTGATTGCCGTAAACGATTAAAATTAGCGCCTCGGATAAACGGCGCTGCACCTAACGTGATATTTTAACACTGAAGTTACACGAAGAGCTATTGTTTGATGAACCATCACACGCACAGTGGCTCTGTTCCGGTTCTGGTGATTTGCTCCTTTTCTTTCTCCCTTTTTGTAACTACTATATTACAGTTCGACATTCACCACCAAAGTAAAAGTGATGATAATAATAATGATAATAATAATAATAATAATAATAATAATAATAATAATAATAATAATGATAATAATAATAATAATAAAATAATAATAATAATATTAATAATAGTAATAATAATAACAATAATAATAATAATAATAACAATAATAATAATAATAATAATAGTAATAATAAATAATGATGATGATGATGCTTGCTATGATTTTGATTTTGTTGTTACTGTTGTTGTTGATAGTGATGTTGAAGATTACAAATATAGCAGGATATTGTGCTTGCGTTTTTCGTTCTTAGTGTGCAGGAAATAAGAGGCAGCATTTATATGTAATGTACAGAAGCTTTCAGTGGCGGTCACTATCATCTTTACCAAGTGTATAGTATCACTCTCAATGTCGCAGAATAAAATGTATTATTATGATTGACAAGTTCAAAAGCATTGAATGAACACCATACTTCTGTGAACTGCTTATTACCGAATAGAAGAAAAATATGCGACTTGAATTGAACCTAATTGTATAAGTGCATTTAATATCAACCATTTGAGAATAAGTCAATTAATTATTAAGTCAATACACAAATGGGCAGACCGATTTAAAGCACATATGATATGAACGTGGTCATCTTTATGCAAACATCAGACATCGGTAGTCTAGTATCATTAGTGTGATGACGATTGAAATTGATTAGAATTAATGTTGTACCGCGTACTGGACTGCTGCGTTATTAAATTGTATGGGAATGTTGCATTATTTAGAATCGTAATATGTGAAACGAAATCTGCGCATTTGTATATTCTACATTAAAGACATAAGTTTTTGCTACTCATTCTCAGCTAAAACAGGGTATATACTTACCCCTACGTTTATAAGTAATCACATGTCACATCAAATATTTCAATGTAAATGTAAGGCATAGGCCTAGGTATATATCCTACTTGTTTGTGTGATGCGACTGAGTTTTATGTTATAGTTTAGAGTTAAAGTTTATAATAGCTATAAGCCTAGATATTGAAAATAATTTTGAATTTTATTTTATAGGTTGAATAATTAAGAATAATTATACAATGTCAAGAACATAAAGTAGCATGAACGACGTCAAACAGACGTAGACGAATCGATTGAGACAACTAAACATTAATGACGTCAGTATTTAACGCCCGCTTACTCTACGATGCACACAATGTGGCTTTTGTAGTGTTTGGATGAAATATATTTTCGAGGTCAGTTGGTAAAGTCTGTCAATAATACGTAGTTAAATTGTATGACAAAGTATGAAGTGTTAAAAAAAAGGTTGAAGTTAATGGATAAACATCCTCAATACAACATAGAAACAGTTCTGTGCATTCGCTTGACCACTTTCACGGAGACAATTATGACATGGAACGTTAATGTGGAGAGTTTACTAATAGACCACACGATAAATATCGACGAAAATCGGAATTTGCTATTTAGTCGTTTCTTCAAATTCAATTTATAACTGTAGTCACTTAAGTTTTGAGCAAACTTTTCTTGTATTTATCAATGATTCCCCGATGTTTCAGCATTTACTAGGTTATTGCATGTTTTGCTGGAGCTGGATTGTACGGC